GGCCGTGCACCCTGGCCGTGCGAGAGGGCTGAAGTTCGACTAAATGACACGCTGCGTTTTGAGTTGCACGGCCAGAATGGTGATATGCACGGCCGTGCACCCTGGCCGTGCGAGTCGGGATTTCCTGGTTTTAAGCCAAATTCCGAACCAAAGAAGAGGAGAGCTGGGTTTTTGGATCCCAAACACCCAAGGGACGAACCCTAGAGAGACAGAGCGACTTGGGAACGTTCTTGGAGCTTTTTTGGAGGATTTCTTCGCCATTGAAGCTCGGGAATCAAGCTTGGAGATGGAGATTGAAGATCTAGATCAGATTTCTGCAGTCTCTCTCTTCTCTATGGAGTAACTTCCCTTCACTTAGGTTTTGAGGAACCCTAGTTCCATGAGTTAGGATCTTTCTTGTATGAAGTTTTGGATGCTATATTGTTTGATTATAATCGAATGATGCATGTTTATTGAGTCAATTGAAGTCTGATCAACTTTTCCTGATTTCTGCTTCAACCTGAGATAGATAGAATCTGATTAGGTTGCTAGAGTCTCATCATTCGGTAGTAGGATATTGGCTATACGAGAGTTAGTCAGTTTACTGCTTTGCACTGGAATCCAATTCCAGTAGTGGAGTTCTGTGCTTATTGCTTCAGCTTTCTATCCCGGTGAAGACTAGTCGTCTGCCGGGTAGTTAGACTGAGAGGGCTTGGTCAGCTTAAGAGATTCCAAGCTACTGTCGGATCTTCCGCAGTTTAATCAACAGTAAAACAACCAAAAGGAATTACAACTTGGATCTAATTGAGGAGCTAGGGGGAATCATACCTAAGTGAGTTCCCAAACTGTAATTAGTAGTTTTACTTAGTTGAGTTAGTAGAGTAGTTTAGTTAATCAACCCTTAATCTAGTTTGCTAGATAATGAACTGAAGCTGAGTAATAGTAACTCTAGAGACCCGTGGATTCGATATTTATTACTTGTGCCACTATACTGCAGTCCCTTTCATTGGTTACACTTGGCCATTGTTAGGTGTTGTGTTTTGGCGTGTCAGTTGTCTAAGAATTTATTTCCTTAATATTTCTTAAGAAATCCAGAGTAGAGACCCAAGACAAACCGCTGAGAACAACATGAAGTAAGAAGCCATTATAGTATCAATGGCGTTTATGAAGGGGGAGTGCCATAGTCGCGTTGAGCAAGTAGCTAGCTGAGTAAGTTGTTTATGAGAAATGAGTGAGTTATAAGTCAGCCAAGTACCACAACTAATTGGAGGAAAGATTCATAGCTCAAGGTCGTACAAAGTAACGGAAGTATGAATCCCTATAGTAGAAGGATTCCTAAAGTAAGACTTTAAGCTATCACGATGAACAAATTTCGAGGTCGGGAAATTTTTCTTAAGCAGGGGAGGAATGTGATATCTCGATTTTGGATTTAAGTTCAACATCAACTACCAGGAGAATTGGATCAACATGACAAGTCAAATTGGCATTTTGGTTCACCACGTTTGGCGGTCAAATTGTGAAATAAAAAGGTTGTGAGCCACTCAAGTTACACAGGTGCTACAAGCTAGGGAATTATAAATGATCAAGGGTTACCAACGAGGTGGATATAGTAAGAATAATCGTGGGAAGGAAGTATAAGACGGGTGTTGATAGAAGGATGAGTTTCGAGCAAATTTCGGGGACGAAATTTTTATAAGGGTGGAAGAAATGTAACACCCTGAATTTTGGGTTCAGGTTCGACCAAAATACGTGAACGGTTGTATCACCGGTTACATACGAAGTGGTGCAACCATAAATTAGGAATCATAATAGTAACATGTTATGTTATGTTATATATATATTATTATTATTATTATTATATCACCATCAGCACACGTCTGACAAAAGAAAAGAAAAAAAGGAAACATCCTCGCATCCCCCTCATAAAGCCGGTGATGACCAGCCGGCGGCGAAACCAACGACAGTGGCAGTGCTCAACGTATCTTCGGGAAGCAAATGTCGGCCAACAACCGCTCGTCATATGCCTCGTCGGAGGATCATCGGGAAGTTACGTCGATGGCAACGGCGTAGTCGACTACAACCATACTTCAAGTGGTGGGTATCACTGCGAAGAGGAGGATCCCAAGAGCATCACCGTGTCGACGAAATAAGATTCTGACGTCGGACGAGGGAGAAACGAGCATCGAAAGTTTGGATGAAAAACTGTCAAGTTCAGGTACCATTATGGACAATTCCAAAGGTTGGAGGATTATTTCGGAAATTCTACAGAGGGGTCGTGGTCAACTAGGTTGACTGGAAAAATTGCAATTTCGGTACCTGGTACTTTTAAACTGACAGAATGTTTATTTTGGTCATAACTCGATCAATTGACGTCCAAACGAGGAACCGTCTGTGCCTACGAAATTGTAGAAGCGAGGGGAATATTATAGGAGGGAGTTCTGGAATCTTCAGAGTCGAATCAGAGTCATCTTTTCGAGGTGAGTGTAAAGGGGGGTAAATTCTACACCTTATGTGTTGTTTCAAGTTTGACGAGCTTAAGTATTTTGATGAAGTGATTGTTATTGTTTGATTGTGTTTATGATTGATGATATGTGCCTTGTCTGAGCATTGTCTAGAGTGATTATGTATGAGTTGTTATTTACTTTAAAACTTTGCAATTAAGAGTTATTATTAAAGTGTAAGGACCAAGTTCTCCTTTTTTTAAGAAGTAACTCACCTTTAAGAAGGTGAGGTCGTAACTGTTTTTAGTCACTAGCGTCAGTCCGTTGCCATTTGAGATCTTTGAGATAGAGCAGCAGCTATGCTCTTGAGACTTTTTAAGACGAGCAACAATTATGCTCGTGAGACTTTTTAAGACGAGCAACAGTTATGCTCGTGAGATTTTGAGCAACAGTTATGCTCTTTAGAATCGTGGTGAAGAGCCACCACGATAAGTTTAAGGAAAGCCTGGATGGGCTCTCATACGTATGAGTTGGCAACCAGACTAGCTAGTGAGGGATCCCCTTGTCAGTCAAAAGATTTAAGTGGAGTTTTGTGCTTTAAGAGTATAGTTTTAAGAGTTAAGATTTTAATAGTGGAAGTACAAAACAACTTCTACTGAGTTAAGTAAAGTGATCAAGTATTAATAAGATGTTAAAAACGTAAGGGCGTGGACTGACCCCATCTCACTCACCAGTTTGAAGAGCTGGAGGAGGAGCTAGAGGAGTAGTTAGTGAGCAGCGACTTCGAGGGCAGCCAGCTAGAGGAGGGCAGTATAAGCGTCACGGAGGATGCTTAGTCAAGGTTTCAGTAGCAACAACATTAGAGATTAATAGTTATTTACATTTATGATTATGAGTACAGACTAGAGATCATTTTGAGAATTTAAGTATTGAGTTTGCCCATGTGTTAGGGCGTTGCTTTGAACTACAAGTGCATGTTTTCAGTATTTTATTTAGTAAAATTTTTCCAGCTGCAATTTAAGATTTGAGTATTTTATTTATCAAGGGAATTTTAGTAAAAGTAGTACCCGACCGATTTAGGGTGTTTCAATGCATCAATCCATTAAAATCAATCAGTATAACAATACCAAGTCATTACAATCAAGATTCCTAACACATGGAACTAGGGTTCTTAATACCCAAGTGAGAGAAAGTTCTACTCCATAGAGAGAGAGGAAAACAGAAATCAGAATAGTCATACTCATAATAATGAGGATAATCTACTCTGGGATGATGATCTTCACTTCTGGGGATGCAATCTGGGCTTCAATGGTGAGAAATCCACTCCAAATAGCTACCAGGGTTTGTTCTTCGCACTTTCTCTCTCTAAAACTCTGTTTTTGCTCCAAAAACTCGATCCCCCACTCTTTTGGCTCGAAATAGGGTTAAAACCCAGAATTTCCCGACCACACGCCCAAGCCACACGGCCGTGTAGATTCCCAGTTTGCCTGTGTGGATGTCAAAACGCCGCATTTCGATTAGTGGACTTCAAGCACGCTGCACGGCCAGAGGCACACAGTCGTGTGGATTTCCAGTCTGGCCGTGTGAGCTCCTTGGACTTTCCACACGGCCACAAGGGGTCCTGACTCGACTCTACTATCACTCCAGGAATTGGCCAAGTGAAACCACTTCCTAAAGCGTAGTATAGCGGGTTTGGGTTTAATTATCAACCCGGGTCCTAGATTTGCTGACTACTCAGTGAGTTCTTGTTATCTAGCAATAAAACTGGAGTGCAAGTCTAAACTACCAAACAAACAAAGCAAGTAAACTGGTTGTATTCAGGTTAAAGAGGTCACCCGGATATGGTTCCCCCTAGACTGCAGTTAAGCCGGATTGTAATTACCAAGTTCAGTTTCTATGAAGATTATACTGCGGAAGGTTCTTAAACAGCCTGAAGTCTCGACTAAAGGTCTTCAGACCCTCTCAATCTGAATCTCTAGCGGGCGACTAACCTCCACCGGAGTAGACAGATTGAGGCCCTAAGAACAAAACCTCCACTACCGGAGTAAATCCGGTACAAAATAGTGAGTTGGCTCCTCGACTAAAGTCACCAACTCCCTACCTTCAATCAAGGATACTCTATTAACCTAGGCAGATATTCTCATTCTAGGTTAAAGCAGAAACAACAGGAATTTGATCAGGATTCAAGTCATTCAATCATTAAAACCTCAATCGAATATAATCAATCATAGAATCAGTACTTGGGTTCATACAATCAAAGCCTAACATACAAATCTAGGGTTCTCCATACCCAGATGAATGGGAGAACTACTCCATAGAGAAGAAAGCAAAAGCAGAATCAGACACGGAATTCATACTGCCAAGGATGGATTCCTGCTTCTGGACGTTGATTGGCACTTCTCCAAGCTCCAACTGGCCTCCAATGGTGTTGAAGATCAATCTAGGGCACTTGGAGACTCTTGTTCGTCGCTTTCTCTCTCTTGAAATCACTCTCTTTCTCAAAAACCCGAATCCTCTCGAATTGTGGCTGAAATTCTGCTTAAAAGGAGAAAATCCCGACTCACACGGCCAGGGTGGCACGACCGTGCAGCTCACCCAGTTGCCCGTGTGAGTCAAAACACATCGTTTCATTTAGTTCGAATTCCAGGCTCTTTGCACGGCCAGAATGGCACGGCCGTGTGGACATCCCCTCTTGCCCGTGTTTGCTCTCGCAGAATGTGGCACGGCCAACCCGGCCACTTGCACGGCCGTGTCGATCCTCTGCTCTGCCCGTGTCTGCTCTCGGCGAAACTCGCACGGCCAGGCCATTCCTTCACACGGCCGTGTGAACATCAGGGCAGCCCGTGTGACCTCCTTTGCGACTTGCCTCGCGCCCGATCTTCACCCAATCGACACCGAACTCGCTCCTAAACCTTCATTCACTTGCCAGGACCTGAAATATCACAAACAAGCACAACCTAGCGTGAAATCGGTCTAAAACACGAGAAACCACATCTCAAACGGTGTAAGAACAGGGGTGAAAACATGTGTAACTAACGGTCTATCAGGTCCCATACACGGCCAGTGTGGCTTGCCCGCGTCATGGAATTCCACACGGCCAAGTCACACGGCCGTGTGGAATTTAGGTCTGCCCGTGTGGAATTTCCAGCTTTTCGTCAAATGTCCCAACTTCGTCCAACCGACCCCGAACTCGTGCCCAAACCTTCTTTCACGTACTAGGACCTGAAATATCACAAACAAGAACAACCTAGCGTGAAATCGGCCTAAAACACGAGAGATGAGACTTAAACGGTACAAGAATGGTGGACAAAAACATGTGTAAATATCAAGTCATCAAATTCCCCCACACTTAACCGTTTGCTTGTCCCCAAGCAAACCTGACTCAAACCAATGAAACTCTCCAAACCTCTATAGCTACATGCAACCTTGATCGTCGGCAGAGGATTTTCTAGATCATTTAGCAACTTACGAGGTCAACTGGTCTTCTAAGACGCCCCCTATCTCTCTCAATGCGAGTACCAGACTCAAGCCAGGATCATGAGAAGCAATGGAACTAAGAAAGTCAACTCATGGATAAGGAGACTCACACAATTCAACAATCAAGGACTCATTGTATTGGATGCTCTTTCATTTCATTTCACTTGTTGGAACCCCTTCTTCTTTTTTTTTTACAATGAACCCCTTCTTCTTACTATTTGTTTTTTTGTTTTTTTTTTTTTTTTTTTTTTTTTTGCTTTGCTGGGGTTCCAACTGCAGTTTGTATGCGCGGTCTGCCCTTATTAGGTGAGCAAGAGCAATTTATGTACATCTATCACTCGCCAGAGTACTTCTTTTAACTCCTATTCCTCACTTCGTGTGGAGGGTCAATGAAATTAAGGGGGGGGGGGGGGGGGGGGGGGGTCGGAAGCTCTATCCGTGCCCTTAAAAACACATCCTCAAGTAGGCAAACCGTTCGACGGGTGGAAATTTTACTTGTACTAGAGACAACTTAGCTTCACCTTGTAGGCCTACCCCACCAAGGATCACTAAAATCTCTTCCAAAACCCGATTTTGTGCAATGAACAGTGCCACACACGTTGGGCTTACCCCATGTCTGAGAATTTCAAATTTTGACATGGAGGACCAACTGCTTTTTCATTTCGCATATGAGCACCTTTTTCGATACATGAGTCCACAACACAACATAAGATGAGTCATCAATACCACATGAATCAACGGTCCTAAATCCACTAGTTCACAAAATCAACCAGCACAGCAGAGAGACAAATAGAAAAAATCTTATACTTCAACATCCTCCATAGTGCTACAACTACCTCCCTAGGTTGCATATCACCATAAAGACTGTCAATTCAAAGCATACTGAGCAGGATTTTGCAGGGAACAATACTTGGAGCCCTCAATTCATCAAATTGGACAGTGGACTAGGCTCCAAGCACACAAACTCATCTAACAGTCAAAGATAGATAAACACCCCCCCCCCACACACACACACACACTTAAGCACGACATTGCCATCAATGGAGCAGAGGGAAAGATAAGGGGAAACGATGTTACCGGGAATACGGACTATCGAGGGGCTGGAAATGGGACCAGTCAGCAGGGCTAGAGTCATCAAAACACACTGGGTGATAGAAACCATAGTTCCAAGTGGACAAACCGAAAAACAAACGAAAGAAAAACAAACCTTGGTGGGGTTGCCTCCCCACAAGCGCTTCTTTTACGTCTTTAGTTGGACGGTGGCTCCTAAGTTTCGGTCCACCCTAGAACCTCCTTGAAGTTGAGGTTCTAGTCGATGATGTGGAGTCTCAAGTCACGAGCATGTGATGTGATAGGTGATGAAGATGGCTCGTGGCCTTGAGGAAGTTGAAGTCTCCACTCTCGAGACCTCTCCTTTGCGTATGCTCTTGTCTCATTGCCCCAAACCAGATAAGATATATTCGACTGACCACCATCACATCCACCAAGAGGGATCGATGATGATGTGGTTCTGGTCTGGCAAAGAGACACAGCAAATGGGTCCTTGTCAAGCAGCTCCTCGAAGTTTGGTGGAGATATCACATGTAACTCATGGCCGGTGCATGCCTCTTCCACCTCAACTTCATCCTCAGCTTGGACACCACTTGCTTCTTAACCCCCTTCCTTCATCAGAATGTGGTTTCTCCCCTTGGAAAAGATCAAAAACTTCATCTTCTTTGCTTTCTTCCTCGTCCTCCACAACTTCTTCCCTCACCCTTTCTCGCTCTTCTTCTTCTAGCACAGATTGGAGAGCAAGTCGCCATGTAATTTCTTCAATGAGATCATCTTGCATCTCCTCGTTCGGGCCCAGCATATCAGAGCGGAAATGGGGACAGTTGTGATCTACCACCAGAGGATACACTTGATCATGATTATCATGGGAGCTTTCCGTGACAACTTCTGTATTCTTCTCAACATCCTCATGATTGCCTTCTTCTTCCTCCTCATCTACTTGTATGGCAACATAAAGGTTGTCTTGAGAAAACTGTGCAGAAGCTTTCTCAATGACCTCTACGTGCTTCTTTATGCCCTGAAGGGTATCCTCTGTTTCACGGGGAAAGGAGAAGTCAGTTTGGGCCATGGTCTGCATATGAGGATCCATCTCGGGAAAGTATCTCTCAGGTACTCGAGCAATCTGCTCCACGAGAAGCCTCAAGTGATAGTTTGGATCTGGCTGTGGAGTGTAGCATGGCTCTGCTGGATGGCCCGTGAAGGCTGTGGCTAAATCAAGTTCTGATGGCCCTTCTAGTTGTGGGAGGAATTCTTCTTGATAATGTGATTGTTCTTGAAATACCCAAGGGTCCGATTATTCTTCGTAGTAGGGGGGTTGGTACTGAAACCCAACTCCATAGTCTTCTCCTCCTTGGGTGCTCCAGGAAGTCTCGGGGTAATACCACTCGGGTGGTGGTGGGTACCCCTAATGGTTGGAGAAGCCTTGAGAATCCATGTATCATATCTGCACCAACAAAAACAAAATACCCAAGTGAAAAGCTAGGGTGGAAAAGTAAAGAAAAGCGCTAAAGTAACATACTTTCACGTTTCTACAATAACCTAGAGTTCCCCGGCAACGGCGCCAAAAACTTGACACGCTAAAACGCAACACCAAACTGCGACCAAGTGTAATCGCAGTCCGGAAATGCAATAACAGGCAAGCTCGATTTGTCAACCCGGGGTCTAGATCTACTGCCTACTCCGTGAATATCTATTATCTAGCAAACTAAGTCGAGTGATCGTGATTTTAACTAAAAGCAGTAAGAAAGCAGGAAATGATTCGACTTTCTAAAGCAAGGGAAGAGCCACTCGGGAATGAGTCCCCCTAGCTCCTTAGTTAGGTCACAGTTGTAATTACCCTGAGTTGATTAACTGTTGATCAAACTGCGAAAGATCCGAAAGTAGCTTGGAATCTCTTAAGCTGACCAAGCCCTCTCAGTTCAACTACCCGGCAGACGACTAGTCTTCATCGAAATAGAAAGCTGAGGCTATGAACGCAGAACTCCACTATTGGAATTGGATTCCAGTACAAAGCAGTAAATCGATTAACTCTCGTATAATCAATCTACCACTACCGATTGATGAAGCTCTAACAACCTAATCAGATTCTATCTATCTCAGGTTGTAGCAGAAATCAAGAAAAGATGATCAGACTTCAATTGACTCAATTAATCATGCATCAATCGATTAAAATCAATCAGTATAACAATCTCAAGTCATTACAATCAAGATCCCTAACACATGGAACTAGGGTTCTTCATACCCAAGTGAGAGAAAGTTCTACTCCATAGACAGAGAGAGGAAAACAGAAATCAGAGTAGTCATACTCATAATAATGAGGATAATCTGCTCCGGGATGATGATCTTCACTCCTGGGGATGCAATCTGGGCTTCAATGGTGAGAAATCCACTCCAAATAGCTACCAGGGTTTGCTCTTCGCACTTTCTCTCTCTAAAACTCTATTTTTGCTCCAAAAAGTCGACCCCCGCTCCTTTGGCTCGAAATTGGGTTAAAACCTAGAATTTCCCAACTACACGGCCAGGCCACACGACCGTGTGGATTCCCAGTTTGCCCGTGTGGATGTCAAAATGACGCGTTTCGATTAGTGGACTTCAGGCACGCTGCACGGCCAGAGGCACACGGCCGTGTGGATTTCCAGTCTGGCCGTGTTAGCTCCCTAGACTTTCCACACGGCCACAAGGGGTCCCATACACGGCCAGTGTGGCTTGCCCGCGTCATGGAATTCCACACAGCCAAGTCACACGGCCGTGTGGAATTTAGGTATGCCCGTGTGGAATTTCCAGCTTTTTGTCATTACCTTCTTTCACGGCCGTGTGGAATTTAGGTATGCCCGAACTCGTGCCCAAACCTTCTTTCACGTACTAGGACTTGAAATATCACAAACAAGAACAACCTAGCGTGAAATCAGCCTAAACACGAGAGATGAGACTCAAATGGTACAGGAATGGTGGACAAAAACATGTGTAAATATCAAGTCATTACCTTCTGTTCCGGTTTGATGCCAGATGGGCAGATATCCTGAAGTCAAGGCTATGGTTGCGTACGTTTAGCAGGAACCAATTCATGGCACTCCAATGTTCCAGTTGTGGGAAAGGTTGAAAAAGCTTTGGCATTTGCTCTATGACTGGTGCAGAGCGGGAACCACTAATTCCCTTCGAAATATCCATACCTTGCAAAATGAAATTGCCAAAATTAAAGTTGTTCATCTGATTAACTGGCAGGAAGTGGCTACTCTCGAAACATAATTAAACAGGCAATGGGAGGCAGAAGAGGTTTACTGGCAGCAAAAATCGCGTGTTCGGTGGCTAAAGAGAGGTGATAAGAATACGTTCTACTTCCACACGGTCACGCCAACCCGACGTAAAAGGAACTTTGTCTCTGGCCTGTTTAATGATGATGGGGATTGGATAACATATGAAAAAGGAAAGGCGGACATTGCAACCAATTTTTACCAATCTCTCTTCACCTCGGAGTCTCAGATTTATAATATGACTGAGCGGGTGGATGAGCTCCCCATTGCATCCAATGTGACCCCAGAAATGAATGCGACCCTAACCGCTGAGGTCAGTCCTCAGGAGATCCGCAAAATGGTCTTTGCGATGGGCTCCAAGCAGGTGCCTGGCTCGGATGGTTTCATGGGCAAGTTCTTTAAAGCATGCTGGGGGATTGTTGGGGAGTCAGTGGTGTCAGCGGTTGGCTCTTTCTTTGCTACAAGCAAGATGCTCCGGAGTTTCAATCACACTTGGTTGACGCTAATCCCAAAGGTAGAGCAGGTGGAATCCATGCGTCAACTTCGCCCTATTAGTTTATGCCAGTTCGTATACAAAATAATCACCAAAATTATGGCGGAGCGACTTGCTGGGATCTTGCCTACTATTGTCTCGGAGGGGCAGAATGCCTTTATCAGAGAGAGACAGATAGTGGATAGTATCCTCATTGGGCATGAGTTAATGCATTATTTGAAAATCAAAACCCGTGGCAAGAAGGGATACATGACTCTAAAGGTTGACATGGAAAAGGCCTATGATAGAGTTGAATGGCCCTTTCTTCTTGCGGTTTTGGAAAAAATGGGTTTTAGCTCTGTCTGGCGAGGATGGATTCAGGAATGTTTACAGTCAGCTACTTTCTCGGTCCTCGTTAATGGGTCTCCATCCGGATTCTTTGCGCCTTCTCGAGGGCTCCGTCAGGGGGATCCTCTTTCTCCCCTACTCTTTGTGCTTTGCACAGAGGGGTTTGCTGCCTTACTTCGCAAAGCCATCTCGGAGAAGAGGCTGGCAGGAGTTAAGGTAGCGCCCCGGGCTTCTCGCATATCTCATTTATTCTTTGCTGATGATTCTTACTTGTTCCTCCGTGGTTCCCTCCAGGAGTGTGAGAATCTGATCGAAGTGCTAAATGAGTATGAGGAGCTTAGTGGCCAGAGGGTGAACTTGGAGAAATCGGCGGTTTGTTTTAGTACGAACATTTCCTTGCCAGACCAGGAGTTCTTGGCGGCTATCCTTGGCGTGGGTGCGGTAGGGGTACAAGATAAGTATCTTGGTCTCCCCACTTTGATAGCAAGATCCAAGACGACCACTTTCTGCTATTTAGAGGAGAAATTGCTGGAGCGTCTACAAGGATGGAAACGAAGGACTCTGTTGTTAGCTAAAGAAACTCTGATTAAATCTATTGCTTTAGCTCTACCGCTCCATGTGATGTCCTGCTGCCGTTGTCTCGCTGCCGCCTCCTGGACAAGCATGTAGCTAGATTCTGGTGGGGGTTGAGGAGGGATGCTCTAGGGTTCGGCGGGTCTCCTGGAGGAACCTGTGTAGAAGTAAACATGAGGGGGGGAATGGGTTTTCGTCGATTCGAACATTTTAATCAAACTCTTTTAGCTAAGATAGGATGGCGAATCCTCAATGAACCCCAATCCCTCTTAGCCCAGGTTTATAAAGGGAAATACTTCCCGTAGGGCTCTTTCCTTTCAGCTATGGCTCGTTCCCTCCCATCCTAGGGATGGAAAAGCATTCTCTTTGGGCGTCAGTTGTTAACTAAGGGATTACGCTGGCAGATTGGGAATGGCCAGACAGCCCTCTTGCTTGACTCAAACTGGATCACGCAGCAGCATCCTCTCCCCCCGGTATATAACCCGAGGGTCCTGCTTGAGGGAGGGGATTTAAAGGTCTCTGCAGTCATCTGCCCAGGAGAAGGACGTTGGTGCGAGGATAAGCTTAGCCAGTAGTTTGATCCTCCGACATGCCAGGCTATTTTGGCGATGCCCTTACCAAGGCAGAACGTTGAAGATCGTCTGATCTGGCATGCTACTAAGGATGGTCTTTTCTCTGTTAAGTCGGCTTATCACTTGGCAGTTCGTCTAGATCAGCTGAATGGGTGTTGGCGGGCGCAGGTTAGTTGAATGGAAAAATCCAGTTGGATCCGAGTGTGGGAGGATAACATTCCTCCGAAATTGAAGGTATTTGCCTGGCAAATCTTAATCAAAATTATGCCGACTACTGAGGCGCTAATTGAACGGAAATTAGAAGTTCTTCCCCGGTGTCCTGTTTGTTGGGCTACATTAGAGACGATGGAACACATGTTCCTTGACTGCCCGGTGGCCAGGGCCTTGTGGAGTCAGTCTGGTTTAGATCATCTTGGTGAAGGAATGCCCCGTCATACATTCCCTCTTTTCCTGAAGAATTTGCTGACTCTCTTACATCAGCCCTCGCAGCTCATGGCAGTAATTGCTGTCCTGTGGAGGATTTGGCCATCCCGGAATTGGGTGGTCTTTGAAGGGAAGCAGTTCGGTATCCCTGCTCTGATGAGGAAGTATCACCAACAAGTAGGGGAATGGCTTAGCTTACCTAGTGATCCTCGGCCTCCCTCTCTGTCGCCTCCTAGCACTAATACAGTGGATTTAGGTGCGGCAGGGGGGCCTGTGTGTCATTGGGATGGGGCAGTCCGTACGAGGTCTCACTCTGCGGGAGGTTTTGTGCTCCTTAATGAGGTGGGGGAGACCCTTTGGGCTACTGGAGTTCAGTTCCCTCTGATGGATGATCCAATGGTGGCAGAACTACTTACCCTTCGAGAAGCAATCCACTGGTGTATAACGCAGGGTTTTGTGTCAATGCGGTTTGAAGGGGACGCCAAGGTGGTCATTGATAAAATTTGTCGGGCTGATGTGCGAGATAGTCGAGTTGGGGCTATTTTGGAGGAGATCATGCAGGTTTTTAAGATACATCCGGGCTTGACTGTACGATTTGTAGGTCGGGGTAACAATAGGGTAGCTCACATGGTAGCTAGACAGGCCATGTCTTTGTTCCCGACTACGTGTCATTATTATGACTTTCAGGCCTGGCTGAATTCCAGAATGTAATTATCGATTTGTTTCTATCAATATATGATTATCTTTTGTAAAAAAAGAAGCTTTGATCCGTCTCGTTGGCCGGATTAGTTTTAGTAATTGATTCGTGGAACGGGAGAAAGTGGTCGACTATGTATTTTCAAACATTATCTTAAAAATATAATGTAAGGAATTGAAGGCCTCGTTTCTCTCCACGAAGCCAATCTGATTGACGGGTGAATTTCTTAGTTGAGCTCATTGATGTACATGACGAAGATGATTTAATTTCGCAAAAAGTCTACTAATTTTTTTTATAGTCTGTATGTATTAGGCTTGTCCTGATTTATTAAAATTTGGATGCCGATAGAAAATTATTTTTGTTTGGCTCCTGAAGAGTAACAAACATAATTCATGATATAGTTGGAGACAGGAGTTCACCTCCTGGCTATTTACACGTAAAGGAGGCGTTCAATCCAAATTTTACTTGGGAAAAAATCCTACTTAAACATTTGAAATCATCAATAGTAGCCCAGATCATGAATAAAACACTGTTTATGAGTTAATTGGACATTAGCATAGGGAATATTAGCAATATTGTGTTGACGGACTTTGTACCTCATTTAAAAATTCACCAAAACAATTACTGAAACATAAATGAGTTATTGCTTCTAAATAATTATTTTCATTCTACTTTTCTGGCAAACCGTCAAACCAAACTTATAAATTAAACATTTGTATAGATTTACAAACAAATACGAATAACACTCACATTTTTCTAATCTAACTAATTGACAATTCAAAAATAATATTTTCTAAATGGGGAAAGAAAGCTCAATTCATCTACAGAAATAACTCTGTGGTACATTATATATGCATTAAGAGATTTAATCCCAATGTTAGACAGTGCAACATCTTGTAAACTACTAAAGGCATGATCATGAGTTCAAACATTGACACCTTCATGTTCTTGTTTTTCTTCTGTGTTGCTCCTTTCAGGCTGACGTTGAAATATATTAAAAGGAAGAGACATGATCAATGCCAATTCACAAAAGGATTGTATTGGATAACAAAAATAACATCATGGAATGTCTATGATATGAAAAGGGATTTAACAAATTCTCACAGTGTGCTATGGAATCAGTTCATAGAGTTAAGTTTTCTACAATTATTGACTAACCTTTTTCCCTAGCTCATTCACCATACTGACAAAGGGTAGTGTTTTTCAAACAGTGTCATGACGAACTTGACTGTTCAAGACCCTCTTCACAACATCAATTATCCTACCTCTAGGAATGATCATGGTTTTCACTCGGTAGATCTTATCATCAATCAGCTCTATTTAGTTCTACGCAACCATGATCTGGCAATAGAAATATAACCAATTTAGAGAAGAACAACACTTTCCCTTTCTAATATCTAAGTATTGCATTTAAATTAGAATTCTAACCAACCAAAATGAAAAACGCATTCAGGTAAACTTCATGGTAAAGAGAAGCAGGAAACTAACAACATATCAATATTAGTTGGAAGGTGAGAAAACGTCATCAACTAACCAAGAAAGCACTTCTTTGTTGAAATCATCATCATTTCTTCGCATGATGAGGAGATGGTCCCATGGTGGCTGGCCTAACGCTAATAGTGATAAGCAATTATGGAGTTCAGTTTTCAATGTCTTATAACTGTTTACGGAGCAAAATCAAAGGGTACCAGTAAAACATCTTACATCCATCATCAAGGCAAAAAAAAATCAAGCTAAACTAGAAATCAACGTCTTATGACTGAATACTAACCAACCACTACAACAATGACACAACATCCATTTTCAGCCAGACAAAGAGGTTTCTAAAAGCTACTAAGCCAGATAATCACTTAGTAAAGGAAAACTAACAAACCTCATGATTAAGCATGGAACTTTGCGGACTGCAATGCATCTACACAACATACACAGCCATATCCCCACCAGGGTTACGTAGTGCAAAAGAGCCCCATATCGTTCATACATAGCTTATTCTTTGTGGAGAAGAACTTCCCCAAAAAAGGTTATTTATTCTATCTTCTTCTACCAACTATGGTTTCAGTATAACCATGTATGAATAGAAAACCAATGAAATTTAATAAGGAAAAAAGAGTACCTGAGTTTTGTAATTCTGAGCTCCTCATTTGATCCCAACATGTTAGACGGTCAATGGCTCGCCTACTCTGCCTTGACCTGACCCGTCCTATAGATCTTCTCTAATAGATCTGATCCATCCGTCAGTCTAATCGTGAGCACTCTTCTTTTCGTCAAACCCTAGTTGAATCCACCTCGGATTCAATGCTTCACGTCTCCATTGGCCACGAATCAGGCCGATTAGAGCGAGACGGGGTCGAGGAATGGCGCTCGGTGATTCATTGAAGCTACTTCAGTCTCAGTTGGCCACCGCTACCGCTGCAACTATTACAGATACTACCTGGCTAGTGCAGCATCCAAGCACTACGACCAAGGAGACCCCACTTTAGGCATTACACACACAAAGAGCATTCCTACCCACCACCTATCTCCATATGCCTACTATTTTGGTTCTTCCTTCTTACTTCTTAGCATTCTCTAAGTCATTGTATGATGGCAAGCATAACAATTAATTCCATTACAAAGGCTAGGCAAGACGACACTGTGATTATAGAATCATAACGATGAGACTACTCGCTAAAATTACCCTTGAGATTATGATAAAACTGTGTACCTTCATGATGTTGGATATAGATGCAAATACACAGAGTAAAGCACGTGAAACCAAATAGTAACCCATATTTCTATGCAGAAATACTAAAGGTAATCTGCATAACAATGACAGTTGGATTTGGCGTAACACATTCAACACCGAGCGTCCCCTCCTTTCCAACAATAAAATTGCCATGGAATTGCTACTCTAATCATTTCTAAATCACCCCAAAATCTGAAACTCTCCACTATCAATAATACACAGAAATATAAAGTGGAAATTGTACAACACTCGAAAAAAATATCGCACCCCATCCTACGAACAGGGTGAAATCGTGGAACTAAACCAAAAAACCATAGCTCCGAATTAGCAAAACAAAGGGAGAGAAAAGACGTACCATTTGAGGTCGAGCACCTCCTCAGCTTGATACCGAGTAACCATCTCGAATACGATATTGACGTAAATGATAAATACCAAAAATGATAGGGTGGTCAGGCTCAAGAGCATTTGTGACCACGAACCCACAATCCGCGGTTTGAAGCAAGCTCTCGATGGGTAAAGGGATTGGACCAACACCATCGTTGAGGTCGAAGCTACCTTCCTCCTCGTCGCCGCTCAGATTCGAATTGTTATTGTCCCACTCCATCAATATCTTAAAAACCCAGTTACCTCTGTCTGCTATCTATTACCTGTAATCAATATGTCTGGCCAGAATCCATAAGTGCTCCAAAACATATAACCACGCAGCTTCATAATCGACGGGTAATGAGTAATCACCAATTCTTGCAATGACTCCAATTTATCGAGCCCCATCACCCCATTGAACTTATAACATCTCATGATCCATAGAATCGATTAATCCCCAACTTCACCAAGCCCTTAGATTTCATAGAGGAGTGAGTAATCAATAATCTCAAGCTTCCGTAACCTAGCCAAATTTGACAGGCTGGGTAGTTTTCTTAGTATACCACAACCACTCAACCTCAAATCCTTCAGAAGGTCTAGATGTTTGAGGCCATTGAGTTTAATTAGATTCAAAGCGCTCGATAAGTGGAAGGAAACAATTCTTTTCCCAATTAATCAGAAAGCAAGTTGAAAGAAAGGAGAAAATCAAACACTGCATAAGAAAATCTCGATAGCAAGAATTAACCAACCAATCTGAATTGCAGACCTTGACAGAGCTGTCATTTTCAGAAACAAATCACCCGAACTCATATATTGTGTTTAAGTGAGAACCTGAATGCATATGACATGATAATCCCACAACACAACTCCATCTGCTTGTGTGCTCGCCTTCATATTCCAAAAGCAGGATCTATAATGAAATACGAAGACTTGAAAGTTGCAGCAAAATGGTCATCCAGTAAATTCTATTGGATTTACGATGATGAAGAGAGAAGAGAAAGATGGGGGCTCCTAATACAGCCTTGAGATGGATCCATAAAAAAGCATCAGAACTATATATCATTCATAGGAGGGTTTCGATTCAGGGCTTCAACTTTACCTTCTCTGAACCATCTTCGTAGATCTCTCCATCAAGAGAGGAACTAAGAAGATGCTTTATCATGGCTTTGACTTGAGTTACAACAGGTACCTAAAGTTGATATAAGTAGCTCGACCAATCCCTAGAACCAATCTGAATAAGCAATGGACAGTAAAGCTCAACTCAAACATTAACTTAAAATAACTTAAGAAATTTACATTACCAGGGTAATTTGTTCTCGAGTTAGAAAAATCCTACAAGAACTCCAAAGCCTTAACGAGACCCCCACAATTTCTTGGTTCTAGCCCGTATAACTCTCTGCAGCAAACACCACCTAAAGAAAAATCCCAAATAAGTGCAGACAACTCTGGTAATGGCAATACATAGGAATGTGTAGGGTTAAGGAGTTGTAACGAAAGGAGGATCTTTGATCCAGGGGAAGCCGAGAAGAGAGAAGCGATTTGTTGCTGCTAGCTGGAACCTACCCATCGGATAGCGAAAATGATGAATCGTCAATTAGCTAAAATTGATTTGAATAGGGAGATGAAGGGAAGCCGATTCGTGCAGAGGAATCCACCAAATGGAAGAGTCCTGGATACAACAGTGGAATCGATTAGTGAGGATTGGGGGAAGCGCCGCATGTCCCCCTGATCGAGGAACCTTAGAGTAGGTAAATATCAAGCAGTAGATGGGCATTGCATTCGCAATATGGAGAAAATAGCAGCAGCTTAAATGAAGACAACTCCTTCGGAAAACAGGTGCGCCTCTTCGTCTCCCTTTTCCCTTCACCGCCCCCTCCTGCTTTCCCCGCTACTGTCGAAATCAATTTCAGCCAGGACTAACCTGTTAAACGCCAGGTTTGGAGACCCATTTGACAGATGGAGAAATTAGTTTTGCACTGCTTGGATCGAGATTACCAGAGAAGGAAGTTAGGAAAGGGTTTTAGACGGTGGTGAAAGGCTGGAAGGCAATATACAGAACAACATGCGGAGAAAATAGCGCAACCGCCGCTGTAGCGGCCGGAGTAGAAACTAGTGTAGCGTTCTTGTTTGGGAGTGGAGGAGGTTGGTGGTGTAGAACTGTGTTGGATGCAGATTCGGCGGAGAGTGAGGTTATGTATGATACAGGAAGGAAAGAGAAAGAGAGGGAAAGAGAGGGAGGCAGGTTTCAGTGTACGGGTGAAGATAGAAAGGCCGCCTAAATGTGCAGCCACGTCAACCGCCTAAAATCACTCTACATACAGAAAAATTTGAATGAGATGTGCAGTTTTACTTTTAAACTATAAATAATACTATTGATTTGATTAATTTGTAACAGTAGGAGGGTGCAAAAAGGAGATGCAAAATTACAGTTTCGCCTTACCCCAAAATTGGGGTGCATGTGAAGGAAGGAAGAAGGGGGAAATTATGTTTACAATAAAATATTTAAAATATTTTATAATTATATAATAATTATTATTATCAATATCTTTTCTTATGGTTATCATTAATGTAGATATATTCGGGATTGACCGTTTGACTCCGAGAGAAAGTTTATCAATGTTCGTCTAGTCAAATCGAGATCTCTTGGTGGACTCGAATTTACATTGTGGATTAAAGATAAGAAGTGCTTATAAAAAAGATAGTAAGAAACGGTTTGGTGACTCGGTTTATTTGACTAAATAGTTAAAACTTACATATTCGAAGGTGTTTGACTAAGTTTGACCATATTCAATTTAAAATTAAATGATACATGAGAACCTTGTAGGATGACCAGTTACGAGTTGGGCTTCGAGCTTCAATGTCATTAAGTAAATGATTATTACAGTTGTTACAATTAATTATTATTTATGTATTATTATATAATAATTATTTATTAAAGTATATTTATATTTTATTAAAATGTATTATTTATTATTATTTTGTGATAATATTTTATAAATTTATTTTATAATAATATAATTACTTACTTTTCACTCTATTTGCACCCCTCTACTTTTTCTTCCAAACAACAATTTACCTCTCCACTTGCACCCCCACCAATTTACACCCCCAGCAATTTACCACTCAACTTGCACCCCTCTCGAATTTGCACCCCCCTTGTTGCTAAACATAGTGAAGTTTACGTTCACTTCAGTGCCTAGTGCTTAGTCAAAACTCAAAAAACTACAAACTGATAATGGCCAGGTCGGAGGGTACTTCAATACTCATACTCATTTCGCACCAAGTACGAATCAAGTGGGTAAAATTAACGTGGGTATGAGGCGGGATAGGTCGACCCACTCTTACAAGGTATTTTAAAAAAATACACACAAAGTTTTACTTTTTATGACAAAACGAAAGAAAAACACTTTATGGGTGAATTATAATAGAATGGGTATTTGAGTATAACCAATTGAAATATCAAATCTAACTGGTTGAAGAAAAATCAAAATAGGAGAAATATGAATAGATATTGTAAGAAATTAAAATAGAATGTGCTAAGAACGGGGGCGGGGCAGGGCAGGGTAGGGCATGGCAGGTCAAAAGTAGAGATTGCAATGTGTCGGGTAGGGGCGGGTTATGCCAAACCTAAACCCATGGGTTTATCCACACAAAAAAATCTTCGAGGTAAAACCCACTGGATTTGGAAAACTCAAACCCAACCCACCCCGCTGGGTATTCGCGGGTTCATGGGTTCATGTACAAAGATGCAATTACACTAGTTTTCACTACTATTATCCACTACATACGCGCTAACTCAAAAATTATTCATACTCATTGTTCAATATTAAAGATAAACATCCACAAACAATAAGATTAATTGAATGTTTGAGAAATTAGTTTAGAAATTATAGTTAATTAGTTAAGAGTTATGTGGGTCGTGGGGGGTATGGACTTGGGTGCGGGTATCTACGGGTTGGATATAACTAAACCCAAACCCAAACCAAAAAAGTATAGCGGGTTTAAACCCGAACCCGGTCTACAATCCGTCAAAGCGGGTTTTACCAGCGTTGACCGAATTGGGTCGGGTAGGGTACCCACGGATTTGGGTTCTAATTCCATCCATAGTCAAAAGTAGATATCCATGCCCCACCCCACGTTACTGCAGGTCGGGTAATACTCGCCCTTCAGCTGATTAGATTGAGTAATACACGATGAAGCAGGTTCAAATTGCCATATACTACAAACAAAATAATTTCCAAAATAAAAGGAGCTATTTTTTATTATTATCGTAAGATAACTTCAATCACCAAGAAATAAAAAAATCAAAGAGTCAATACAACGCCTTGAACGAAGATGTGAAATTGAAACCAATTAACTTAGGAATAGCGAAATGGTCTTTTCACCACCAAATGAGCAGCCATGTTGTTATCTCGACCAATGAAGTAGACAGCAAGCCTTTGAAAATACAAATGTTGTCAAAAGCGAATCGGAGTATGACCCTATAATGTGAATGGCTCAGTCTTTAGCGGTCCAACCGACATTACATTGATTAAAAACCGTTCGAAAACCGGTACCTAATAAACAATCAGTATAAATAGTGGACACCTCTTAATCATGGTAAACCATGATTAAATTAGTAAATTACACTCTTAAATCTTAACAATTCCAAAACATGTGAGTGGAGAGCCGGGAGCGGCTACAGGGATTGGGGATGGCGACGGGAAGCCCTGGGACCGGACGTGACGACAGAGTGGAGGAGTTGCAAGTGGAAGAGGGGACGGGGACGGAGACTGGTGATGGCGAGCTGGGAGCTGCAACGATTACTGGGGATGGCGACGATGCCGATAGGAAGCCAGGATGGGAAGTGTTGAAGGCGGCAAGATCTGGTGCTGCTCTTCTCCCTCTGTTCACGAAGAGTCAAAGACGAAAACTGAATTAGAGTTAGGTTTTCTTTCCCATCCCCACGATTTTGCCTTTGGTTTTCAATTTTCTTTTTCAATTTTTTTATTAAGTAGAACGGACGGAAGGGGAAAACCGAGGGACCGATTCAAACGGCTCGAGTGGTTAACCGTCTCGATCTCTCACCAGCCGCTCCATAAAACCGTAGCGGCTAATTGACTGGCCCGAGCCGGTTTTGCAGCCGGGTGGCGGCTTTAGCGGTCCGACCAACCGGCTCGGTCCGTTCTTAATAACACTCAAAATACCCTCCAAGCACTGCAGTGTCGGCTAAAATGGCCACACCACACGCATGTAAGACAACTCCATCACATAATTTGTCTTGCACGTCCTTTGCATCACCCTTAAACACCACCCTCGTAACCCCATGTATCACACACCACCGAACAACCTCTTTTAACACCAAAAGTTCCAAAAGGAAAGGTCCACCACGCCATCAAACAAACGACCCTCTACTGCCACAGTCAATCCTCTAGCAAATTGCAAAATCCAATCCCCTTGCGTTATGAGACCACATGGAACAACCCGAGACCATTCCCCCTAATATTGAACTACTAGCATGTCCGATGATTATATCTGAGCAGTATTGTAGTAGTCCTTGCCACTCACCCACCTGTAAAGAAAACTATCTAATCAAAATAGGTAAAGAGTATTGAGTAAACTCAAACACCACCCAATTGCGAGACTTCCAAATGTGGCAAAACAAGACAATCATACGCATGAGCTGCTCTCTCATCACTCCATGATGCTCCATGAACTTGCGTCAAAACAAGAAAATATTGATATGAGAAAAAGAATCCAGACAACCCCCAACTCAAATCTTTCTCAAATCCCACGCGCAACACCATATTATAAAAAGATATGCTCTAACGACTCAGTCCCCACCCCACACACCGGACAATGCACTAGGCCCGCAACCCTTGGTTTCCAGGGCCTCTCCCGTGGGCAAAACCCCATGAAGAAGTTGCCACAAAAAAGTAACTCAACTTGGGTGGGATGGGTAAAGTCAAGACCATCGACCATAAACCCCTATCCATCAAAGAAACGTCAGCCTTATAAGGGGGTTCACGACTTTGATGCAACTTAGCATCCAAATAGTACCCTAATCGGACGGAATAATTTTGATGCCTCAAAATGCCATACCAACGATCTGAGAGAGGGGTCACCGTCACTAAAAAACTATAGCCATTATAGACCAAGTTGTGTCCTCGAGGAAAAACACGACTAATCTTTCTCGATTTCATAGATTCACATGTGGGATGATAATTTCAAACTGACCCAATTTGGGAGAATCAGGTGTTATGAAATAATAGAAGAATGCCAAGACATATGTCAAAATGGTTTTGACTGATCTCAAGGCTACATACTCTAATGTGCCTTCGTATTCTTTGATATGGAAACTTATTTGTTGCCTAGACACAACTTTGTCATTTGACTATTAACGAAAGATAAGATTATCACCAAGGTGAGACTCACGTATCAGTGCAAAGTTGTAAATGATAATTGTATGCTATGTGGAGTGGACTCTGAGATCATATCTCATATGTTTTTCCCGTGTTCCTACTCTATTGAAGTTCCGAAAGGGTGCATGTTGCTGCTGAAACAGATGTGCAAACCATGTTTGGCGTTCGAAGGGTATTTTGCTTGGGTTGTACTAATTTATAAGGAAGAAGTCATGTTCTATTCTAAGTAGGGGAAATTGATATAGAACTTGACAATACGTGTTTTGTGGAGTGAAAGATAAAGTATGCTACATGGTGGTTCTAGTATTGATCTGGCTAGAGTGGTGGCAAGAATTCAGAGCATATTTGAACTAGCTCAGGTTAATATGCAATTATACAGCTAGATTTAGGTGGTATATAGTGTGTTTCTGATTCTTGTTAAAATGTTGATGTTAGATTTTTTGTGTATCGCTTTTTTGTTGCAAAATAAAACACAATGCATGTATTTAATTGTTGATGTGACATTTGAAAATATTCAATACGAATGATTTAAAATCTTAACTATTTGGTAATTTCATTGAGATTGTAATGAGATTTTATTCTCTTAATGTCCTTATCAACTTTTATAAGTTTTGACTTTCATATCTAAAAGGATGGGTACATATGACTTTTCATTCAAAAAGTGGGTTTCCTACTTTGTTCTAAAAATACAATCACAACTACCTAAAATTGTAATCTTAAGATGCAATCATTTAACCAATACATCAATTTATAATTCATGCATTCATACAATACATCAATTCTAACAATTGCAAATACCAAACAAGGCCTTAGTAACAATGTGAGCTAATATACATAGTGTGCTTTTGTATTTGTAAACTTTTTTGTGGAGTGTGTGTTGATCTCCCCACCTTGAGCTTATTAGAATTTTTGATTGCCTATAAAAAAACTCCTACTTTTTGTATGAAAGTGAACGAGATATTTCATCGAAGGATATGCTCATCAATGAGTTTCTCAATAATTATGGATGTCGTAAGACAGCTCCTTCTTTCTCTAAAACCTTTTCATCTGTCTTTTGTCTAAGGGTCCAATTCCAGGTAGTCGTGGAGGCTGTTACCGACGTCTTTTCCAATAATCGACGGCAACCATCTGCCCCCTCATTTTCAGTTTTGTTTTCTCCCTTTCATTGTCCCTTCATTCTGTTTTCTACAGTCTTGTTCTGGCTTTGGTTTTTTCATTTTAATCAATTTCTCCTTCACCCTTACAGGGTCTCTTCCTCCCCACTGTTGGTTGATTTTCTGTCCTCCTATATGTTGATTCGGATGTGGAGAAGTGTCCAATTTTTGTTTGCAAATGGAGGCTAGATCTATCACAATTCTGGTTCATTTGCTCCTCTCCTTTCCTTGTCTAAACCATTGTTGCACCTTGCAGATCTTGGTGATTCAGAGTTGCAGCCTTTGACGTTGGACACGGTATGGAGAGCTTGAAGGCAGAAGATTTCATCCCTCTGGTTCCGTCGCTGGTCGACCAGCCGCATTTTGATGGTTTCCTCTGGGTTTGGATGACAAAAGGCAAATGGCGATTGGCTCGGGGTGGTTTGATAGGAAGATTTCATTCCTCATCCCGCCATCCAAGTTTGGTGGAATTAGTTCCATTTCCATACTTGGTGCGTGGTGGTGGTGACTTGTGGGGACCAGCGTTGCAGGCGCGGCCAAGCCGCGATGGAGGATTCGACTGCGATAATGGAGGAATTTAGAGGGAAGCAGACGACGGCTAGTGTTTGTGGGGCTTAGACAGTAATGTTTTGGTCTGGGCCCTATTGAGTAGCAAGATTTGTGTTGGGCCTTTTAATTGGGTCTTATAACCCTTGTAACTATCTACTTGTGGGGACCAGCGTTGCAGGCGCGGCCAAGCCGCGATGGAGGATTCGACTGCGATAGTGGAGGAATTTAGAGGGAAGCAGACGACGGCTAGTGTTTGTGGGGCTTAGACAGTAATGTTTTAGTCTGGGCCCTATTGAGTAGCAAGATTTCTGTTGGGCCTTTTAATTGGGTCTTATAACCCTTGTAACTATCTACTTGTATTTTTTCGTTTGAGTCTGTCCCGTTTTGCAATCTTAATGAACTAATTAAAAAAATGTTTAATGAATAAGCCATGAGAGGGGGATCCAAATGGAGCAAGATTACATAAGTAGAAGAAGAAAGAACCTAAGGTGGAAATGAGGTGGTTTCTATAGATGACAACTTTTTAATAAATGCCGTTGGTGGTGGTTAACTAAAATTTTTAGGGGTAAAATCAGACATTCAAATGTTGATTGGTCAACACTTCAATTAGGATTAATGAGTTTTGAGTAAAAAATCATGTAATAATGGTGCACATTATACGCATAACTCTACCATTTGATGCATGCACATTTGATTAGAGGTAAATATGATCGAGCTTGCGTCCAATTGTGGGCACTAGCGAGTGTACATCAATTATGTTGATATTGGTGAAGGCGGAAAATGAAAATGATAAGTAACTAATCATAACAAATTGATCTCGATGACATAGTCTTTTCAGAATAAAAACTGAAGGGTGAAATTACTCGTGGGTTCCCAATTTTTTTTTTTTTTTGTGAAAGTTCCCAAATTCTGCATATACACAAATGTGCAAATTTCTTTCATCCAAATGACCTCTATCAAGGTTTGAATTCGAAAGAATCAACATAGATCTCTATCAAAATTAAACAATCAAGATCACCCATAGTACAAATCGATGTCTATAAAAGAAATCAAAACTCGAGTCAGGCTATATACGCAGCTACAGGACGTAAATAATTAAGATGATGAAAATACAACAACAAAAAAGAGAGAGATCGAGAAGAAAGAAAAAATCAGGTTCAGAATTAACAAGAAATTAATTAAAGATTGAGTAATAATAAAAGATGGATGTAATATCTATATGTGTGTTGATTTAATTTTACATCAAGGTCCAACAAGCATTCGTGACCGGGTTCCATACCGCAGGGACCAAAAATCGCTTCCCCTTGGAGCCATAGGCATTGAAGCTCTTGCCGGTGATAGGATCCTTGAGCAATTTACCCGGGTTGCTCCCGGGTATTGCCCCGCTCCCGAAAATACCCATGCAAGCCGATGAAGCCTCTAGTGGCTTCCTGAGGCTGTCTTCGAAAAACCCGGTCTCCAGTGGGTTGGTCAGCGTGTCGACCAATCCTTGGGCGAACCCAATGACCATGGCGTCCGCACCGATATCACCGCTGGGCGGGATCAGGTTCGGTCCTCCTGCAAACGGCCAAGCGCATTCCTCAGGGCATTCTGTCTGCGGATTCCCCACGATGATGTACGGTTGTTGGTCTGCATTAACGTAGCGGATTGAGCCTCATTAGTCGCATTATCACAAGATTCACATAAATTTTGAGGAAAAAATTATATCCCTACGTGGCTACGCTTATGTCAGAAATTAAGCCCAATATCTTGAAATTGTTTAAAAGTGTTCTGTCACTGTACTACAACTCAATTATATTTATTTAATAATAAGTATTTATTTATTACATTCTGTGAAAGAGGATACATTCAGTTTCGAAATTCCGACCCCGCTGCCACTCCCCGCATATATACTATACTTAGGTGTAGTCAGCGATCCGCGGTTCACACCGAACTTAATCGAATATTCAGAATGAATTGGATCAAATCGAATATATTTCAATTTGGTTTTGGTCCTATGAATTATTCTAAGCATGAACAAAAAAATTGGACTGAAATCCGAAATTGAATTTCGACAGAACCAAATGAACCAAACATGCTTTTCGTCCGATCCTATCTCTATTCGCGATCCGATTCCAGACCGAATTCGCGTACCGATGCCCACCCCTAACTATATTACAGTACTCCTTTCTACCATGCAACAGGAAACCCTAGTGGTGGAAGGAAGAATATAATGCAATATTGCTACGTACCAATAACCCCATGGTCGGCGCATTTCCCCATGCACAGTCCATGCACCGAAACGTCCCTCGCCGTGAATATCACCGGCACGATGCCAGAATTCCCCTCGGTGGCCTTCTGGATGAGCGGCTTTAGAAAATCCGCGGTGATCACTTTCCCGATGGAGTAGCTGGTGTCCGTCACCTGCCTCACCACCTTCACCGTGATGGGCCTCTGCGGCTGCTTGGCGGCGCTCTGATATGCCTCCACGATCTTCCACCACGACGACACCAGTGGCTGCTGCGACGTGTAGTGGTAGTGGCCGACGTAGTTTAGTGACTTCACGAACGCCCTTACCGTGTTCTTCTGGACTCGCCCGAATCGTCCGTACCACACGAGGGCTAGTTTAACGTTTCCGGTGAGGAGGGCCCCGCCGTGGTAGACTATCTCCGGCGCGTCGCCGGCGCTGGTGCACACTTGCGAGGAGAGTAACAGGGAGAAGAGGGAAAAGAGGAAATAACTACAAGTCCGCCAATTAGGAGGTGGCGCCATGGTTATTACTATGGTTAGCTAGGTTGATTGAAATGAAGATTCAAACTATCTATCTTAAGTTGCGAATTAAAGGAGAAATGGTTGTCCTTGATGTGAGGAGAGGAATGAAAAGGAGACGAAAAACCAGCTAGGTGGGTTGACTTTTGAATTAGTCGTGTGCGGGGGAATGGCGTCCCTCTCTAAACATGATTTGCTATTGCATTGGTGGTGGAGCTTCTTTTCTCTAAATACAATGATTGCAATTGTTGCCGAATAATCGTATGGTAATTAAGAAGGGGCTTATGGAGAGGACATTAATTGGTAAACTTTGTCGTGCTGGTAAGTGGTAATTAACCGTGGCTTAATTATGATGCGTGGGGAGACGATTGTCACAACAGTTGAAAAGAGGGAGGGAACCCGCCACGTATAGACTCGGCTAAGAATCTGTGAGAATTTGGAAAACAAAATGAGTTACTGGACATCTAATTTATGGGGACCGAGATTTGCCTGGTCAAGCATGAAACCTCGGGGGAAATAAGATTTTTGGTAGTCTTGATTGAGGCTTATGCTCTGAATTGTGGAGGGATGACTTTGACCAAGTCGTGATGTTCCCGTAAACTGAAGATTGGATCGGATCAGATCATTGTCCTATTAAGATGAAGGTGTAAGTAAATGGTAGAAAGGGAAAGCAATTTATACAAACCAATCCATGTTAATCTCATTATACAATGCAATTCACTTATAATTGTATGCTTAAATTACATAGGAAAGAACAAAATTTATTGTACAAGCCCACCATTTCCATTTTCATGCCCATTTTGACTTTCATATATACATTTGTTACAAGATTACAAATATGAAATGAATGACTACATTAATAAACCATAAGTATTTACTAAAAAACCTCTTACAATTAGGAGATTCACCAAATTCACTATTGAACGCTTATTTTGCATGTATCAAAGAGATAGCTCAGGCCTCACAGTAAACACTATAAGTACTTACTGAAAAACTTGGAAATAAATACCTATTATAGGTATAATATGTCTTTTTATTAAATTTTTTTTATCAATATACCCTTCTTCTATTTTTAGTATTTTTACATAAAATATATCCCTCTACTTTAGAAAATTATAAACATGCCTTATGTTAAAATTTTCATAAAAAACTCGTCAACCATGGTCGAACCGTGGTTTAGATGATCTGTTTATGAAAAATTGGAGGAGAAATGTCAGTTTTGCCTCTCCATTTAAAAAATAATAAAGGGACATGTTTGATAAAAATGCATAGTATAGAAGCGTCAAGCATATTATATCTATAATTTAACTGTAACTAGTATTAACACCATACTAACAAATTATGTATTAGCACCTAACCTCTACTCTCCCTGTCTCCATTACCTAATTAGAGAGTTTATATCAATGTTGAAATGAAATATTAAAGGGTAAATATTTTTTTGGTTACTCAGTTTATTAAGTTATTTCACATTTTTCACTAAAAAGAATTTAGTGCACTGATAGTCATTAACTTCACATTTATATTTCACTATTAGTCAGTGGTCACCATCTATCATATTTTGTTAAAAACTCTTACCCGACAGTCAATAATCCTAATTTGACCGTTAATATACTAACAAGTCCACTACAAAATAAATTAACAAAAATTTGATTATCCTTAATTTAATTTCCATGTCATCTCCTCTTCCTCACAGTCTTCACCCACACTATTGGAAACTTTGAGGAACTGTTTTCTCGGTCGACATCATCCTAAGGTTTGCCACTTCGCTCGAATCCAACTGCTCAATTCGCTGGCCGAAGACACATTTTTCCATTTCGAATTCCTCAGTCTTCCACCCACAGCATCTCCTCTCACATTTCCCCGAACAATTTTGACACATTGTCATGCTTCTCAAGTTCTCAACCCGCCCTCTAGAATTCTTTTTCTTTCCTTCCCCTCCGAAATTCCCTATGCTCAATCATTTCAATTTGAATTTCTCCATGTCCAAGATCATTCCCCAGGAAAAACCACATTCACTCTGCTCATAAAAATAGCTCGTCCTTGTCAATAGTCGCATGTGTCCAAGCCATCTCCGGCAACAACTACACATTGCCCACTACTCCGATGCCTTAAAATCTGCAAAAGGATTTATATTAATATGATTTTCCACATGAAATCTTCACAAATCCACGAGCCACTTCATCTCCATCGATTCGCGTCGTTCCTCTTTCTGTTGCCCTTAGTCCCCTTCCCATTATGGCTCGTTGTCTTCTTACTCTACAAGATCCCTCTAGTCCCTACTTTGTTAGAGGAGAAGGAAGAGTCTGGTCGTCGATTTCCTCCTATTGGCTTACAATTTCACCCTCAATTCGATGTGAGGACTCTCCATACTCCCTAGGTTCCGAATCACTCTAGGTGTTGTCACGAACCTAAATCTCGACTGTGCGACCTTAGCTCTCAAGTCTGTCTGAGGTGCTAAGTCAGCCTTCTCACTCACTCAACTCACAAGAAGAAGACATAAGAAGACGAGAGAAATTCTCTAGAGTGTATTGCACACAAAAATGATAGAATGAGTTACAAGTGAGGGAGATAGATTTTTATATAGGCTTCTCCACATACAAGGCATTAATGCCCCCTCATAATGATCCCTCTCCATTACTACACCTATTAAGTCTCCCCCATAATACACACCATTATACCACCTCATAATGTGACTCTTTAGGTGCACCATTAGGCTCGTCTAAGATGGAGAATCATCAGAGCATCCTATGATACTAGGTCATCTATAACGCCACACATGCTTGACCTGGTCATGACCCGCCATGTCACTCGCCATGCGTAACATTCTCCCAGGCATATTCAAATGACGCCCTCACACATCCTGGTTACAAAAATGCCTATATCGACCTCGAGCAGCCTTTTTCGAATCTAGTGCCTCAGTCGTGACATTCTACTCCATTCAATATATGACGCTCTCATCATGGCTCTTTGTCAGATGACTTCCATGCCGTATCCACTACTTGCAAGGTCTCATTGCGCTTTCCTCCAAGCCAAGAATGGCACGGGCTCGCTCTCGAGCCTTATGTTGTGCGCCCATGATGTTACACACTCCTTCACATTCTTCTTCGTCGCGTCATTTAGTGTCACGCCTTCTCGATCTTGGTGACCTTTCCTTGATCCTCTTGGAAAGTCGAGGATGACCCATCTCTCGTGTCTCCACAATATTACGCACTCCTCATCTTTTGTCCTTCTCCAACGCGTCTTTGAGTGATCCCCTCCCTCCACCATCGTTGTGCCTTCTAATTGTCCTTGCCTTGAAAAACACCACTTATTTGACTTGGGTTGGTCTCTTATCATGGGAGCCAATCTTGCTCCGTCTTTGATGTAGAATCTATTGGCGTAGGGGATTGTGAAAGTCTTCTAGCGCACCATGAACTCCATGTCAATGGTGACCTAATAGTCATCCAACGATACAACCTCAAAATCTGCCACCCCGGTCTATCCTCCAAACTTGAGTGGCACCTGACGCGCTACTCCGTGAGTTCTTGTGGCCCCTGAGTTGGTAGCCTTCATCCACCCTTTTTCTCATTCTCGTATGTGATGTCTAGTCTCCACGCTTCATCTGCGTTGAGAAGGATGCAACTTTCCTCGGTGTCAATTAAGGCTTTCGTCTTCCTTTGGTCGAGCTTTGCCTCTACGAAGCATTGAGCATGTCGCTTTGGGGCGAGGAGGACCTTTCGTCCGCTTGATGGCACTCAATCTCTTCATGTAGAACATCTTCGTGACGTGGGCTCCACTATTAGAGTCTCATCCTCTTCCTCTTCCGAGCTCGAGCCCCTCATGACTGAAAACTTGTGTTTCTTTGGGCAATCTCTCACACGATGCATACCATCACAAGCAAAGCAATTAAGGGGTTTCTCAGCCTTACGATTACCTCTTTGGTCCATGTTACCATTCCTTCGTGTGTATTTGTCATGTCCATGCCCACCTCCATTGCCTCCGGGATCCCAGTGCTCCTCCAACTCGTGGTACTCGACAATCGCTATTGCCTCGACAAGACTTTGTATGCCTCGCTGTTGTAGCTCCAACTTTGCCCATGGTTGGAGGTCGTCAAGGAAGGTGAACATGACCTCCTTATCAGTGTAGTCGGGGATCTCGAGCAACAATTTAGAAAATCCTTCATATACTCTCGAATCTCTCCTTCATGAGCAAACCTCCTCAGTCTCGATAGGGCTTCAAACTCAATGTTCTCGGGGTAGAATTGCCTCTTGATCTCCCTTTTGAAGTCACTCCATGACTCAATCACGCACGTCCCTTTATTGATATCGCCTTGGGTCCATCTCCACCACAACATAACAACATCACTTCAATAAAGAGGTGTGGTTTTTACATTGCTATTCTCATCTCGAATACCCAAAGCTTGAAAGTATTGCTCCAAGCTCCATAGGAAGTTTTCTAACGCCCTTGCATTCCTCGACCCTCGAAATCTCTTCGGTATTGGAATCTCCATGGTTAAGGTAGGTTATACCGCGATAGATACGTTAGCCATGGCCTTCTTTACAAGTGTTCCCTCGCTCTTGACCTCCTCAACCTCCTCCTTCATGCTAGCAACCTCGGCACGAACAGTCTCCTTCATAACTTAATTGGCATTGTTCATGGAGGTGGAGATGGTGTTGTTGATGAGGGTCACAAGCTTTTCGCGAAGCCCATCATTGTCGATCTCCAAGCTCATCAATCGAGCCCCCAAACCTTGAATATCAACTTGAATTTGAGTGAAGTTAGCTCCCAAATCCTCCACCATGGTGACATCATCGGCAACATTTACCTCCACTATAGAGATGCACTTCTCTAGAGCCGCTAAGGGGGTCACAAGTGCTAGACTTGTCACTCTTTTGCTTGGATCCCTTCGAGGCATTTCTACCACGTTGATCATCACCATCATGATAACTGTAGAGCACTAGGCCGCATTTGAATAGAATATTAGATATCGTAAACAAAAATATATAATAACTATAGTTTTCATTACAATGCCAATTGTACAAGAATGTCTTTTAATTTAGCGAATCCATCAATAATAGAATCTTCATCTATACCAATAGCATACTCTCTCTCAGAGAAATAGCTAAGCAATCAACAAGAAATTCATTTCTCATTTTGTTGTGCAAATGAGTTTTCACATGTTTCATTGATGAAAATGTTCTCTCCGTGGTAACCGTTGAAACAGGAACGGTCAACACTATACGAATCAACTGACAAATCAATTTGTATTGTCTGTACATCCTTGTTTCTGCATTCTTCTCTAATAATTTTCCAAGGGAAGAAACCTCATCTTATGTGAGTGGCACAATATCATAGCTCATTCTTCAAAGAAAACATCTCATATCCTTCAAAGTCTCAAAACTAAATTCTTGAGCAAGTTTGTAAATATTTTTTTCATCAAAATACCAAAAAGACCGGTTAGGATCTAGTGTACTACTCAACTGAAGCAATCTAAATTATGACTTAGCAAGTTTGTAAATATTTTATTAATCAAAACACTGGAAAGAAAAACAGCGCCCAGTGGACTGGCGGCGTATGAATCCATTTCGGGTCCGTTCGTCTCCTCCTTGTTTTTGAGTTTTGTGGGGAAGGGTGAGTTTTAGTTTAGAGGGATTTTTTTTATTTCAATGAAACTTTATACTTTTATACTTTTACGTTTTAAAATTTTAGATTTTAATGTTTTTTCAATGGGGCTAAAAATTTTAGTCTAAATTTAGAGTAGTGGTTTGGATATGTTCATCTGAACCATTTTTCTAGTTACACAAAATCCTATTATCAAATAGCATTGGGCGGACATTTAAATAACATAGGGACGAATACCTAAAATCGAAAATTTTTATATGCATTATAGTAGCTCTAGATCCATAAGAGGGTTGGGCCGTGGTCCAGGGTGGCCCAGCCCTAGATCCTCTGCTGATCGTGAACTTCCGATCCCGCCATTTTTTTTTAGGCTTTAGCTCTTTCTTCTCTTTTTTCTTCCCGGGGAGTGAGAACACTGATTCTTCCTTAGAACCATGCTCTGATACCAAATCTTGACCGTGGGGCCTTAGCTCTCAAATCTGCCTGAGGTGCTAAGTCAGTCTTCTCACACACTTAAACTCACTAAACTCACAAGAAGAAGACACAAGAAAAATGGGAGAAACTCTCTAGGGTGTATTGCTCACACAAATGATGGAATGAGTTACAAGTGAGGGAGATGGCTCCTTATATAGGCCTCTCCTCATACATGGCATCAATACCCCCTCGTAATGGTACGTCCTCATTGCTACACCTATTAAGTCTCCTCCATAATGCACACCATTATACCACCTCATATTGTGTCTCTTGATGTGCACCATTAAGCTAATCTAAGATGGGGAGTCATAGGAGCCTCCTAAGCTACTAGGTCTTCCATAACACTACGTGACATTCTCCCCCACCTATTCTCGAGACGCCCTTGTTGAGTCCTCGTTACGGAATGCCTCCACCGACCTTAAGTAGCTTCTCTCGACTCTATAGACTCAGTCGTGATAGGGCCAACTGGGTGTAATTGACGAGTGGCTGTTGCAGTAGTGAGAAGTCGGTGGATGTTCCACGGTGGAGGAGGATAGAAGGAAGTCAGTGGAGGCGTTAAAGACGACGGATTTTGAGATTCCGTCACTTATGTGGGAAGTTGGCACAAGTTTGATAGATATGAGATGAGAAATTGCAAACATTTTTTAATGACACATCATTAGGTTATTGTCAAAATAGTATTGTTGGCTGCCACGTAGGATTTTTAACAAAATTAAATGGAGGGTGGGCAGTAGTAAAACGTAGATGTAGAGTTAGTTACCGTTAATGCAATACTTTTTTGTGACAAAGATGAAACAATTTAATAACCCGAGGGATCAAAAGTGATATTTACACAATTATTATGTTTAGTTATTTCACGGTTCATGAATCATGGTTCATGAGCAAGGTTGTCAACCCGCGGGCTAACCCGTACCCGTTTGAGCTAGTGGGTCAAGGGTTAATGGGTCACCCGGTTTAGCCCAAAAATATGGAAAGAGTCATTATATTGTACTTATCCTGATAAATTATATCAAATCTCATCTAACAATTTAGTTATAACATATAATATTCCACCAAAATAACATGTCGTACTTAGATCCAACATATAGTGAAAATTCACACACACTTATATAACATCAATATTCAAATGTTCAATTAAGGATTCCAAAGATGGAGTTAGGCGAAAAGAAAAATCGGGAAATAGGCGCATTTCGCAAACCAAAGAAAAAAATGACACAATCTGACATCCAACCCGGTACCTTGTAGCGGTCGACCCGACGGGTGCGTGCAGGCCATTTTTCTCACCGGGCCAAAGTCAAAGTGGGTCGACCCGCCTGCACGCACCCGTCGGGTCGACCGCTACAAGGTACCGGGTTGGAGGTCAGATTGTGTCATTTTTTTTCTTTGGTTTGCGAAATGCGCCTATTTTCCGATTTTTCTTTTCGCCTAACTCCATCTTTGAAATCCTAAGTTGAACATTTGAATATTGATGTTATATAAGTGTGTGTGAATTTTTACTATATGTTGGATCTAAGTACGACATGTTACTTTGGTGTAATGTTATATGTTATTACTCATATGTTAGATGAGATTTGATATAATTTATCAAGATAAGTATAATATAATGACTCTTTTCATATTTCCGAGCTAAAACGGGTGACCTGTTAATCCTTGACCCACTAGCTTAATCCGGTTCGGGTCAACCCGCGGGTTGACAACCTTGTTCATGAGTCATGACTGAGTCATGACTTGACTGACTAGTTTGTTAATAATCCAAAGTTATGTGCCCGTTCAGGTAATTAACCCGTATTTATTATATGAATTGACGCGGAGTTTTGGGATGGATAACAAACCCTAATCAAGTTTACAGGAAAAATAAGTGCACTCTCCTTTATAGATCGAATGTTTTTCAGCCCGAGCTGTGGAAGGGAAGAAACTCAAGTGGAAGGATTGAGTTCTGGTGCTGCTAGGTTACTCATTATCTGTTCCTGCCTGGCTGCTGGTAATGTCATTGACCCGCTGGTAACAGGTAAGTAGAGACTGAAATGAACTAGGATCGAACCTATGGAAACAAGGAAATGTACGCTTCTCCCTTTGAATTGATCCCAAGCATTTGTGTTCTGTTTGTTAGGCCTTTCGTCTTTGTGCTCCGTTGGGACGTGAGTTGAAATTTGCGATTGTAGGGTCACGTCTGGTCTGGTCGTCTAGAGTATTTTCTGCTCCCTTCCCCACGACCAGATTAGCCAGGCCTGCTAATTGGAGGTAATGGATTGGAGTTGGCTCCCCTCCATGCTACTGGGTGCCGGCTGCGTAGCTTTAGGTTATTGCATTGGCTCTCGCCGCCTTGTTTTCGCCATTCTCCGGCCGAAACTGGGTAACGGTTCCAGTGGTAAGAGCTCCGGCAAACGCAAGTCGAAGGAACCCCTTGAGATTGAAAAGCTCGCAGATATTCTCGAAGACTTCAAAATGGTATACCTCTCTCGCTCTCTTTTCGTTGGCCTGAAAATTGGTTGGTATGTTAATATCTTTTCTTATTTTCATTTGTTGCTTGTTTACAGGTTCTGGTCGTTCGGAATGATCTTAAGATGGGAAAAGGCAAAATCGCCGCACAGTGTAGGTATGCTCTTTACTGGAATCCCACCTAAATGCTGATGTTCTATAATGAATGTAGTTTGCATGTGCGTTTGGAAATTCATCATTGAATATCTCCTGGTTAATCAATCGTGATTTATGATTTCTGATACTCTTTGCATTGTTTGGTTAGTCATGCAACTTTGGGACTTTATAAGAAACTGCTTAACCGAGGACCAAAGGCTTTGAACAGGTATCGACCATAAGCTATGAAGTGCTGGTGTCTGTTCCGCATTTTCTGCTCTTCTTCGCCTTTGACTACCTCATGAATTTCCATTAAAAAAATTGCAGGTGGGAGATGTGTGCACAGCCAAAGGTGGTTCTCAAAATTGACACTGAGGAGGATATGCTTCTTTTGCAAGTTAGTATGCTCTCGATATGCCTTCCAATAACAAGCTGATTTAGATTTTGCCTTCATTCTGTTTTATATGAGTATGACTAATCATTTGCTGCCCTGGTCTCTTCTGGGTATGAGTGCGAGTGGATACTGGATTGTAACCATAAGACTGGCTACTCTAATGGATTCAAGTACCTTAGAGCTCTAGTTGTTCAGGTCACTTTCGTGTCACCACTTGCTGCTAGTGTGACTTGCCAGCTTGATAAAGCACACCAAAAGGCTGGGAAACTGATCATGGAAATTCAGAAGATGAAAAGCAACCGGCAAAATTTGTTGATAGTCGATTTTATTTTGTTTAATAGATAATCAATAGATGCATAAGAGTTGAAGATATTCCTGGGCACTTTCCGGTTGTTGTTTCTCTTTAGTAGGTCAGACCTGAAGATAGCTTTTCAGCTTATTGACCGAGGTGTCATGCAGTAGTTTTGACTGTTAGAGCTCTCTTGTTGAGTTGTCAATATGATTAATCCAGAATCCTGGTAGGTCTGCAGAGAGTAAACTTATTTTCTATGATTACTTCTCTTTACAAGACTCCATAATGACTGATTAGTAATTTAAGTTAAGTCTGCAATGCTATTTCTGTTTTTTCTACTTGATTGGTGGAGTACGTTCTCCTGTTAGTTATAGGTCCACTAGTCCAACATTGAGACCATGTACTTGACTGACTTTCCTACTGTACCTCATAAGCTTTCAGTGTTCGTTATGTGTTCCATTGATTCTGTAATTCGTTCCGGAATCTAAAGATTAAAGAATATTTGGCAGGAGAAGGCTAAATCACTGAAAATACCTAGCCACATAACTATTGATGCAGGGAGGACTCAGATAGCCCCAAGTGAGTAGTAAACCTTGTTTCTTTCTTCTGTTTATACCAGTTTGTGTTAAATTTTTTCCTTCACTTTCTTGTGATGCTAGAGTATTATCTTAAACTTTCCTAGTTAGAAATGTGTAAGTGTGGCCGGTGTTGTGGTTACTTATTTATTGTAGTTAGCAAATGAACCTCCTCCCCGTAGAGCTTTCTTCCATCCTTGTAAACCCTTGTCTTTGTTTGCTTAGTAAGTCAGCCCCAACGGGTTACGGTGATAGATATCTATAACAACTCAGCTTTGCTGAAAGGCCAGCATTATCATTATCATGTGCAGCCTACTGCAAAATTTACACCGAGAACAGAGGTGCCATATATCGTGCCATTGCCAATACGCGTTAGTCTATTTTGATATATGTATTTTTCCTTGTTTCCTTGTTTCAGCTTGAATCTTAAATGTTTCAAGTTAGGGGTGTTATCTGCACTTTCCTTGTCTGCATAGGAAGTCCTTTATAAGCTGTCTTGGGACTTATTACTGGAATGGGATTAGGTTTCTTGCTGCAGAAGTTTGTAACTCTTATAGAAGGAGATTTTCCTACAGAATTTGGCAGTTTGGAATTGAACTATAGAGTCTTTTGACTTATTTATTTGATAGGATTCTGAAAATCTTTTTCTGGGTGAATTCTCAAACGAAGTTCTGGTCTTTGATGGGAGAGGCAGCCGCCTACTGTTTCTGCTAGTTCCGGCAACTATCTCGAATCAGACCCTTATCTTCCATACTTTCTCTTTGTTTAGCAATCCCTAGGTACATTAAATACAGTGTGTAGGTTTGTTCATTTGCAGTACCATCCCAATGTACCAAAAGTGAAAGTATTTGCCACTTTGGGGTTACTTTCAAAAGGCTCATGAGTCAATTATTCATCCAAGTGAGATATGTTAGCTGCAGAGGTGGTAGCTTGGGTGAAAGGGATGTAGATGGGCAAAATTAATCAAATCGAGGAGGAAGTAGATGTTGTTTCTTTCGTCTTCTGTGATAGATATGAATAGACGCTTGTTGTATATGTGTCCTGCCTTGATAGTTATTGCAGTTTTGTTATCACTTAAGACCAGCGTGGGATGTGAAATAACATGTTAGCAATTTTTGTGGCAGATTCTAGGACTGTGATGGCTCTCCTTGGTAAGAACACTCACCTCAGCTTGCTCTTGGCTTTGATCTGTACTGGAAACGGATGGATGCCTGATTTGGCAGCTTCCTTTTGCTAATTGCAGCTGTTTGTATTTGTTTTGGGTTGTGGGGAGGTCTTTTTCTTTCCCAGTAGAAGTAATAGAGTAAGTTATATTGTGCAGGACCCGTGGAGGTAGTAGATGAGGTCACAGGAGGTCTAAAGCTGTTGTAGGCGTTCAGGTACGACCCAGTGAACGGGGCGATACAAAACACAACGTACCACCGGCACAAAGGTCATTTTTGTACCTGGGCCTATGATCTGATTGTCATTTAGCTGCGCTGTTGCCAGCGACAACCGCTGCTGGGTGTCGTAGGGTCGTAGACATTGTCACTGTCATTTTGTTCAGCATTTCGGTTGGTTAGAAGGAATACTCATATGCTGATTAACAACGAGGAACCGAATGACTTATATATGGACAGCAAGCTCTTTCATTACTGTGACGGAGTATCTGCGCTTGTGGTTGTAATGTTGATGAGATGTTTCACTATTCTAAAACTGTCACCAAACTTCGTCGTTGCTATGTTGAGATTAGTGCCTGCTACTTAATGTTCAGGCATAGTGCCGCCGGTTGATTCATTGTCTTGTTGAAACTTGAAAGAGTGAAAACAGAGCAGAAGGAAAAAAAGAGCCGGAGCAGGCTCTCTTGTGGGAAGGGCCGCCACAGTGGGCCCAAAAGTTGTAATATGCAATCTGAACTCTGGGCCAGTAAAGCTAGATCCAATTACAAATATGAGGTTATTTTTTGAGTACATACTATGAAGTTGAATCATCTCAAATTCAAAACTTTGGAAAGAAAAAAGAGAATAGAATAGGTGTGACGGTCATGGGAACCGAACAGAGCGAAACAGATCTGGGGAGTTGTTCGTTTGTGGTGCCGTCTGCGCATTATCATGATTTTTTCAACGCAGATTCGATCAAAACCACTAATTATTATTAATTCTTTCTGGGTAACCTCTTTATTTAATTAATCAAAGTAGCATGCTTCTAGTACCGAGTTTCCTTCAAAATTAATTAATAGTACGCATACGCGTGGCAATCCAATTGGCATGCTATGCTAGCTAATCATCCCAAAACTGGGTTTGGCCCATTCATTCTCAACAACGTAAACGTCGTCAGCCATCAAATCAAAGGTGGAAGCAGTCAGTCAGAAGATTGCACTTGGCAATCTCTACAATGGCCGCACTACAGTCACTTGCAATAGGACGAGGGAGGGAACAATAGTTTTGGGTTGGGCCGGCGGTCGGATCGACGGGCCCCGAGCCAGGTCCACTCTCTTTGCTACCTCGACGGAGCCATCGCAGACAGTTACCTCCCCGACGCAAGGAACCTTCCTTGTTCGTTGTTACTATTATTAGCTAATAGCTAGTAATCACGCACGTAATTATTTATTAACAGTTAAGAAAGTCCTTGTCAGCCTAAAACCTTAAAAAGAGTGGGGAGAAAGAGATACCGAGTAAGTAGGTTTAATGATGATGATGATGATGATGATATTAATAATAATTATTATTATTGCGGGATAAGTGAGAAAAATGGAATCGTGGCTGGTTAGTGGGGTTGGAGTCTGTCTCACGATCTAGTAGAATTCCCCCTCCCGTCCAATACTCTCACTCGTACAGCTAATCACAAGGGGGAATCACAATGCAACGTTCATGCCTAGCTCTCTAGAGATCCATCTCTTCTCTCTTCTTATTTTTTGATTTTGTTTGGAGGAAATATCTCTTCTCTTGTCCAATTTGCTAACACAAATAGTAATTGATATAAATCTGGCGAAAATCATCATGCAAAATCGTAATTGAGATTAGTGATGGCAATGGGTCGGAGAGGGGTGGGGCATGGGTATTACGGGTTGGGGTTGGGGCGGGTAATACCCGCGTGAGTACGGGGCGGGGCGGGTCGACCCGCTCTTATATGCTATTTGAAAAAAATACAAGCAAAATTTTACTTTTTACAATAAAACAAAGGGGAAAGGCTTCATGATTGAATAATAGTGATAATATAATGGGTAATTGGGTCTATTTAATTGAAAGATCAAGTCTAACTAGTTGAAGAAAAGCCAAAATAGGAGATATATGAATGGATGGTGTAAGAAATTGACCTAGAACGGGCCAAGAAATGGGGCGGGACGGGGCAGGTCAGGTCATAAGTTGATACCCATGCCCCGCCCCATGCTACTGCGGATTGGGTAATACCCGCCCCATCGCAGGTCAGGTCGGGTAATACCCGGCGGGGCGGGTTCAAATTGCCATCTCTAATTGAGATGATTACGGACAAGTTAGAGGAATAGTATTTAGCGGTGCAATCTTGTCGTTTCAACGACAATGTGCTACTCTTACAATGTTACTGAAACAATACAATATCTTCAACCGATAATATCGGCGTCGGCATCTGACGCACACATGACTAGTGACTAGTGAGTGTGCTTCAAATAGTAAAATTTAAGGATGTACCAAAACGGGGCAAAATTTTGTTGTAGTATTGTGTACCAACCTAGCTGATGGTAGTAAATTTTTATGTTCCAATCACTAGCATGCTAGTGTACCGTAAGTCATGAATAATTTACAATATCTCATTTTGAGAACCTCTCTAACCCATCTATTTTTTTGGGGTGTTTATGATTGCGTTGACAACATTTTAGTCTGTTCAATTAGTCGTTAAATGGTTGTAAACTTGTGATGCTTTTCACCTTTTTCAAATAGAAAATCGAAAAAAATTCTTCTAATTACATGTATTGGCTAAATACATCATCTGAAATCCCAACTTCCAAACGACCCCTATATATAAAGAAATTAACAGCCTAATATATCTAAGACAAAAAAATAACAACATAATAAATATATATAATCAACAAAATCCATGCTAATCTGATCCGAATGCATAATTTACTAAAATCAGCTTAGCCAAAAATCAGAACTTATCGTGATTTACAGAGTTAATCAATATTCAAATAAATTCCCGTTTCATGGGATGGGTTAGCATGCTAACCCCTTAAGGGTTTGGAAAAATGACACCCTCTTATTAATTGGTCAATTTTTCATTAATTATTGACTAGTATTAATGAAAGTAACCATAATAAATGTTCTGTTATTAAATACAAAGTAAGCATTAAATACACCACATTAATTACTCGTTTTTTTTAAATCTAAACATATACAAAAATACAATTCTCTCTCTCATCTTTGATCTTTCTCTCTCCTATCTCTATTCTTCCTTTCCGAGCACCCTCCGACCACCAAGTTTCCTCCGACCACCACATTTCGCCGGTAAAATCCGTTGACAGACTCTCTCCGGTCACCTGCGAAAATATACCACTGCACCGATATGTTGTACCACTGTACTGGTATTTGTACCACTGCACTAATACTCATATATGACATTGGTACCAGTGCACTGATATCGCTACCAGTGCAGTGGTATAGCTACCAGTGTAGTGGTACAACGTATCAGTGCAGTGGTATATTTTTTGCAGGTGTTCGGAGGGAGTCTGCTGATGAGATTTTCACCGGAGAAGTGTGGCGGTCGGAGGAAGTCTGGTGGTCAAAGGTTGCTGAAAAAGGAAAAATCAGATATAAGGAGAGAGAATATATTTAGTGTAGGTTTTAATTTGAAAAAATAATAATAATTAATATGGTGCATTTAATTCCTAATGTGTATTTAATGTGTGTATTAAATTCTACAGTTGTATTTAATACACTAGGGGGTGTCATTTTTCCAACCCTTAAAGGGGTTAGCATGCTAACCCATCCCCCGTTTCATTTGTTTGTTTTTTTTTTTTGACAAAAGATAATCATATATTGATCAAGAAAAAGTAGTTACACCCTGGACACCAACCAGGTCCGGTAATCAAAAGAACGACTCATAGTCGGGAACAGAGAGAGGGCCTTTCTAGCCACCAAATGGGCTACCCTATTGCTACACCGACCTACAAATCTAACACTAAACCCAGGATTACCAGTAAAAATCTTAATGATCTCATCTAACACAGCCCCCAAGCGACTATCCCGAGCATCCCTGAGATTGATTTTATCAATGATAATCTTCGCGTCCCCTTCAAAAGTAATGTCCTCCCACCCGAACGACTGACACCACATAACAGCTTCCCGCAGAGACACCAATTCCACTACCAAGGGATCATCAATCCCCGGAAACTGCACCCCCTTAACCAGCAAAACCTCCCGTTCCGGGGACAAAAGTACCAAACCTCCTGCCGAATGGGACCCACTCCGGACAGCCCCATCCCACATGCAAATAACTCCATGCCCCCTACCTGCCACGTGGTGAGTAGGAGTAGCCTGGACCCCACCAGGAGCCCTATCCATCGGAAGCCGGACCCACTCCTCATACTGCTGCCGAAACTGGCGCATCAGGGCAGCAAACCCAAACTGCTTGCCTTCAAAGACAACCCTGTTGCGAGAACGCCAAATTCGCCAGAGGACAGCCACCACGGCCATAAAATCATTAGGTTGATGAATCAAAGCCATTAGCCGCTTGAGGAATAGGGGGAAAGTATAACGCGGGAGCCCTTCCCCTAAGTGAGCCAACCCTGCATAATCCCAAATGGCCCGTGCCACTGGACAGTCAAGAAAAAGATGTTCCATAGTCTCCGAGTCTGCCCAGCACACCGGGCACCTGGGATGCACCGGAACCTTCCGCTCAATAAGGGCCTCAGTAGTAGGCAAAATCCGATTGAGAATTTGCCAGAGAAAGACCTTTAACTTAGGAGGTACTTTGGCTTCCCACAGCCGAATCCAGCTCGCCCTATCCGTCTAGCTGACCCCCGACTTCCAACCCCCCCGCGCTTATCAAGAGAGACTGCTAAATGATAAGCCGATTTGACCGACTGCTAAATGATAAGCCGATTTGACCGAGAACACTCCATCCGGGGAGTCATGCCAAATTAACCTATCCTCAATCGATTGCCTTGGCAGAGGTATAGTTTTGATGGCCATGCAAGTCGGCGGGTCAAACCATTGGCTAAGAAGTAGATCATTCCATCGCCCCTCCCCTTGATAGATTACCTCTTCAACCTTCAGGTCCCCCTCCTCCGGTAAGACGCGAGGATTAAACCTAGGAGGGTCCAACTGGAGGGCAGAGATCCAATTAGAATGGAGGAGCGAGGCAGTTTGCCCATCCCCAATTCATTTGTTTGTTAATTTCCTATTTTGTATATAAAT